TTATTTTTATCAATCCATATTCTCAAATATTATTTTCCAATTCAAGACAGACCCGTGAAATACTAGGGAAATCACGTAAAAAAAACGAGCTAAGCACACTACCTCGTAGGTGGCGTTTAAACGTTCATTTCAAAGTGATATTTCTTTAAAACGGTGGCTTTGAACAAAAAAAGTATAAATACGTTTTTGTAGATAATTTTATGCTCTACTATATTGTCTCACGTAATTTCGCGATAAAACTGACCATTTAGCAAAAAATTGCTAAAGGGTCGTTTTTTTACCTTTGACCTTTTGCCATTTTCTTTAGTTCGCATCGGATCGATGAGGACTTTTGAGATTTCTTTTATAATTGTATTTTAAACAATGTTGCCAAGTTAAAGCTTATTACGAATTATTGTAACCTTAATGCGTAAATTGAATTGATAAAATAACGTAAGATAAAATCTATTAAATAAAGCCAAGCAAAAATTCTTTTTGCAAAATAAAATATTATTGTTTATTGAACCAAGGGAATGCAATATCGATAAAAATTTTCGATACCTGTATTTCGGTATTTTCGCTTTCAAAACCGGTGATACTGGTATCAATTTTATCTAAAAAATGTTTTTTTTTCTCTTTATTGAAGTACAATCTGTCTTTACAAAAAGGAAGACATTTAGTAATTTTGATGATATATGAAATATTAAATATTAGATTTAAAACCCAGTAAGCCTTTTCAATTTTGATATTGTGATTATATAGAGTATCTAAAAAATGTGAACAAAATTACGTTATTTGAACAAACTTAAAAAATAAACTTGTTTTGCTGATGCCACTTGAAAAAACTGTCTCTTTTTTACATAAGAAAAAGTAAATATTTTTGACACTTGTTTATACGACTTGAAAGAACATTTGTTTAAAGTGATTATGAGGTTTGAAGTTTAGATGGTTCTTAAAATTCAAGTATGATATGTATTAACTAGCGCTTATGTTTCAATGCCAGAATACCAATATTTCAAGGTAATTATTTGTTATAAAACCGCCAAAAATTTGGGCGGTATACAGTATATCGTTTTTTGTTATACCGGTATAATGGTATAGAATTCTCTAATTGAGACTTGAATTGCTTTGTTAATTATTTTTATCCGTTACTATATTTAAGCACCCACATTAACCTAAATTTTCTGGATAATTAATCACAACATTTCTCATAATACCTTAGTTGCACCCCATCCAGTGACACTAAGTATTGCTCCAGGTTTAACTTCAGTTCCACTTTCGGCTAAATCTACTGATACTACTGTACAAACCGTATATGAGACTGGTTTTTCAAGTTCTAGTACAGCAACGTCAAAATCATAATCCGCCCTCTTATTGTACGAGGGATGCATGTGGAAATCTATTACTTTATGAACTCGACCACCTTTGTTACGTATACTGCTTCCTATACGTACGGTTATGTCTTTGAGCGGCTTTTTCAACCTAGAAATAATTATTGATAGTAGCATATATGCAAAAATTCCATTGAAATTGAAAATTCAAATTTTAAAGTTAATTTAGTTTTTATCAAATTTGTAATTAATTCTCTAAAAGTTTTAAAAATTAGAATTTAATTACTTATTATCATTTGAGAATTTGATTTTTTCGTTTTTAAATGAGGTTCTAAACATATGTAAAATATTTTAAACCCCAATATTTATGTTGCCATATTTAAATTATAAAACATAGGTTATGCCCATTATATACATCTCATTACAATGTAGTTTAATTAATCAGAAGTAATATTTAGTATATTAATCTGGGAATATATATGGAGGCTATGCACATCAAACATTACGTTATAAAGAACTTAAAAAAAGATTTATTTTCTCATAATACCTGTTTATTAACTTCCCGTAGGGTAAGTTATTGTAATCGTCCAAAAATCGAAATTAAATTTTTTTATATTTCTTCACGTTTTGAAGGTTTCTGAACATTTTGGAATAATACCTTAGAAAAAATGGATGTGTGTACGTGTGTGAGTGTGTATGTATGCATGGATACAATTTTTCGCCTACGTTTTCGGGCGCACGGATCAACCGATTTGAATGGTTCAAAAACAATCTATTCCTATTGGTAGAAAGATTGCTGGTTAGTTTTTGGCAAAAGTCGGTTCAGCCGTTTCTGAGATACGGAGCAAAGAATGCAGAAAATAGAAATGGAGTTTTTGAGAAATCCAAAATAACATTCATTTTGTAAAGATGGGTAAAAGTGGTAATTAAATTTTGTCTAAGACAGGTATAGCTTTTTCGGAGATACAAAGCAAAATGTGCAAAAAATGGCTATTTTGAAAGAAATAAGCATCCGATTAGAATAATTCAAAAAACTTTCTGCTTGTGTTAACGAAACGATTGTTTTCGAGGAAAAAAGTAATTTCATTTTCTTTTTATTTTCAAAATTATTTTATTTTATTTTTATTATCGAGAGATTTGCCTCAAGACACAATGCCGTACACCACTAGTTATTATTTTGAAGCACTATTTGTCCCGGACTTGTTGTATTAAAAATTTTATATTTTGAATTTGTTCTAATTAGAGTTATATTTACAGAAACAAACACACATAGTTACACTAAATACAATATTAATTACTCAATTTAATTTAAGGTTTAGTTTTTACTAAGCTTATATTTCGGATTTCGCAATAAAATTGGTTACCATTTGGTAAATTGTTAAAGTTAAAATATTTGACCATTTTTGAGGTATAACCCAGTTTTGAGCTAATTTCATGATTTTGATATTGAAATATTGCCGTTTTAATCAGACATAAGAGTAAGTTATAGTAATAACAAATAAATCGAAAAAGAAATTGTTTTTATACGTGTTTACGTTTTAGAGGTTTCTAAAAAAATTCAATTTGGTGATAAAAATTGATGATAAGGCTTATGCACATCAATTTATCAGATATTTTATAGAGATTTTTATAAGTACAAATTTTGTTTCAATGCGTTCCGTGCAAATGTATATCAATTAGATTGCGACACTGCGTTTACGCTCTTTCAAAGTTCAAAGTTTTTAAAAAAATTTCAAATGTAAAAAAATTCTCATATTTTAAAAAAAAACAAAGTTTAATTTTCAGTATGGGAAGTTTCACGAATTTACCTTCTACGATGCTATGCACCACTAGTTGTGCTATTGGATTGCGCTACAATCTGCATCTTTCTCTGTATATTTCATCTTTACAACTGAATTGATAATTAACCTTAACCGTATATAACTTTTAAATTGAATATTTCTAATGGCAAAACAGAAAATAATATTTTCTTATTTGAAAAAATTTATGTAAAACTGCTTTGAAATTGATCAAATCTTGATCATCTTTTAGTTCTTATGTTTTTGCTTTTAATGAATGATTATTAATAAACCAATTGTTTAGTTTTAATTTACCGATGCAGCTATAAAACCCATTAATTTTTTCTTATAAGGATTGCAATATATTTTGTTTAGCTACAGATGTAGCTGATTTACTCATAACATTAATTTATTTGTATATATATATATATATATATATATAATATTAAGTATTTTATTAAAATATCCTTACCATTCAACACAGTGTGCAGCAGTTAGAATCCATTTTGGTGCAATAATTGATCCTCCACAAAAATGAAGGTTTTCACTTTGAAATGAAATTTGCCAACCACAAGTTGATATATCAACATCTTCACCTCCAACGATTCGGTCATCGAATTCTGTTACATTATTTCCTAAAAAGTTAACTTCGTTAGAAAGCAACTAAATTTTGATATTATTTCAACGTTAATATATTATTATCTTTTACCAAAAACAAAACTGATTTGAGCGAAAATCGCAAAAACTACCAAAAGTTTCATCATTGTTAATTATGATGCTTTTGCAAGTTTTCAATACAAAATAGAGATCTCATGTACCAACTCATCATATTTTATACCCGGGTATTATATAATTTTTGATGAGCTATGTTCATACGTAAAATGCATAATTTTGAAAAATTTGATTACTGATTCATTGTCTACAACACGTAAAAAATTGGCACTAAAGTACAATCATTATATGATAAACTGTATTTAAGTGCTTTCGCGTGTAGATATCAAACAAATCAGGTGTTTCCAATTTCCAATTTATACAAGTATTTATTACACGAATACAAAGTAGTATTCTAAAAGATTTTTCAAATAAGATTACAACTTGTGACCTTAAACCATATTCAGAAAGAAATGATTTAAAAAAAATAGATTTTGGGTTTAAAACTTTCAATAAAGGTATGTCATGCTTCAAAAATGGAGATACCAAAATACAAACTTAATTTAGCATTACTTTATATAAAATCAGGCTTTTATAGAAATAAGAAACTAGTGGGGTGCATGGTATCGTGTATCATGGTACCGGAATTGAAAATCTTGGTACGGTACCCAAAAAAATTTACACAAAATGTGTACACATTATTAAAATCTCTATAAAATATCTGATAATTTGATGTACATATGTCCAAAAACATTTTTGACCGACAAATGACATTTTTTTAACTTATTTTTATTGAGAGTCTATAACTGCTGGACCTGCCTTTCCAAAAATTTAATCAATTCTTCAATATAAGTAAAATGTTTTTTGAATTATTGAAATCGGACGCTCCGTTCTCTTAAAAACTGAGTTACCGTTTTTGGCACTTTTTGCCTCGTATCTTTGGAACGCCTAGACCTGTCATCGTCAAAAACTAATCAGCACGTCTCCTTATCAATACAAATCCAATGTTTCTTGAATTATTCAAATCGGTTGATCGGTGTTCCCGAAATCGTCGACGAAAATTTGTATCCGCACACACATCTAAGCTATGCCAAAATGTTCAGAAATCTTTGAAACGTAAAGATAGGCAAAAGTTTTCATTTTCGATTTGTTTGCGATTACCATAACTTACCCTACGGGAAGTTAAATATCATGTTATTGACTCAATATTATCTCGAACCTTTTTTTGTATTTCGACACCCTGCTCTACAACAAATGAAAGTACATGCACAACAAAATATTTATTCAAAATTTTTATACAAAAGTTACAAAATAGAAGGCAATTATTTTTGATATGATATTTTTAATCACTAGATTTCGTCAAAATGAACTCTAGAATTTCTGGATGATTTACTTTTGTGTAAACTCCCGGTTTATCAGATTGACCACAATGGGTACCCCAGGATACAATCCCTATAAGTTTCCTGTTTTTGTCAACTAATGGACCACCATAATCACCGTGACAAAAACCGTCACCTTTTGCAGAACCAGCACATAACATTCTATAATAAAATGTGAAAGTTATTAATTTTTTACAATTTTAAGGTGTTATTATAAATTTAATTTTTACCTATCAGTGATTCTGTCTGGTTTTCCTGGTTCTGCATAATTACTTTGACATACTGAAGAATCTATCAGAGGAATCCAAGCACCAAGTAATTCTGAAGAATCGTTTCCTTCGGTCTGTAAATGAATTTTGAAATAATTACTAGCATTGATGCAGAAGTAATAAGTAATAATAATTAACAACAATTAACAAGTGATTGTAATTAAGTAATTACCAGGTTCTAAAGGTTATTAATTTGTATGTAATTTAAAATATATTATTAATTGTTAGTTATTAACTTTCCGAGGAATAAGTTTGTTTTTGTCAATAAATCCATTTGTAATTGCATGTTTTTTCGACCATTCTCGTCATTTTGAATTGCTTGTCACCAAAATGAAAAAAGCATGTATGTGCATGTGTGTGATCCAAAATTTTTCGAATTTCGAAAACGTTTTAATTTCAAAAAATCAAAAGCCTCAGTTAGATATCGTGCTGGTTAGTTTCAGAAAAATTTTGAATTTTTTTTTGTGATGATTCTTATAAAACATAATGTTTAACTCTAAACAATCATCTTAGAATATTATAGTTATTTAACAGGCTGTAATAAAGTGGTTTACTTATAATTTGTTTTTTATGTAAATAGCTAAAAATGTTATTGTTCAAATTTTAAAAGCTGCTAAATTTTAATTTTTATTGACTAAGTTGATTATTAGGATTTATTACACATAAGGGGAAGTTCATGCAACTTGCCTTAAATAAAATTGCAGGATCAGCATACTGTTAATTAATTTTTAGCATAAATATTAAATAAAAAACACACACATCCAAGAATTATGAGTTCTTGTTGTGACATATCATAGTTTTTATTCTATCGTTATTTAAGACCAATGTTATGGCAAGACCATGTTGGCAAAATCCTGTGTGGTAGCTGTGCAGTTAGGCGTTTTAGATAGAAAACCTAACATAGAAGACCCACAAATGTAAAAAAGACGATGTCATTATACCTGGATCTTTAAAATATGGCTTGATAACATATGAGTGAAGTTGCATTTTATGTATAAAACACTTGATCAGACAGCAAATACACGGCATTTTGACCGTATTTAGTAGCATTTTGTATGAAAACTGGAAGTTAACACAACCTTGCCATAACATTAGTTCACTTTACAGCAGAATCGGCCCATAAAAGTCAGTTTTTTAAATCAACTCACAGGAAATATATAGAATATAAAATACTTCAGTTTTATTATATTACCTGGTTAGCTCCCCATCCTGTTACATAAACTAAAGATCCTACAGGAGTCTCATATTGCTCATTAGCTAAATTTACAGGTCGACTATTACACACTGTAAGTTTAATAGGATTTTTAACTTTAACCAGAGCGACATCATAATCAAAGGTCCTTATATTAAATTTCGGATGTAAAACTATGTCGGTTACTTCGTATACATTTCCATTTGAATTGTGGTAGGAACTTCCTGTACGTATAGTTAAATCATTGGTGTCACCGCTGAAATATTACCATAAATAATTATTTACAATAAAAAATGGCAGTTTTTGAGAGTACTAAGCGTCCGATGTGAATTATTCAAAGAACTTTCTGCTTGTTTCAACAAAATAATCACCTTGGAAAAAACAATTTTTGTTTCTATTTTTTTTTTCAATTTTTTGTTTCAAAAATTTTTTTTGTATTTCGAAAATAATTTAGATTGTAATTTAATTTAGATTTTAATTACTGTTTTAATATCCTTCAAACAAATAATTCCAACTTTGCAATTCAGTTTATATAATTCTTATGAATATTGAACAATGTTACGATATTTATAAAAATCTATTTGAAAACATTTAATATCATTTCGTTACGGTACGGGAAGTTTCAGCAATTTGCCTTTAGGCACGCTGCCATACACCGTTAGTTTGGGATGTATTTTGTTTAAAATACTATTAAATATTGAATATATATTTTATTTACAGATATATTCTTGACATTTGTTCGGCATCGAGTATATTTTTATTAATGATCCTAGATAATTTGTCTGAATAAAAATTTAATACATGCTAATTTAACATGAATAAACATATAGTTGTTATATTTTTAATAGACTATTGGTTAACTTCTCATAAGGTAAGTTATAGTATTCGAAAACATCTTAAATCATTTTGATTTTGACAACAAAACATTCCTATTGATAGGGAGGCGTGCTGATTAGTATTTGGCTAAAGCAAGTTGCAACATTTCAGAGATATGGGGCAAAAATGTAAATTCAATTCAGAAAACATTTTACTTGCAATGACATTAATTGACCAAGTTTTTGGGGAGGCAGAAAAAAGAGTTCAGAAAATTTATTTATTTAAGTTCAGATAGAGGGCAACGTGGTTTTATCGAATGATGTTTATGTTTGACTTTATCGAATGATGTTTACAAGGAAAGCCCCATAGTTCAATTCCATAAGTCCAAATGGGCCAATGATAGTTTTGTACAGAAGTACCTTGTTATCGAGAGAGATTTCAGATTACTTCCCAAAAAGCCAGTAAAAATCTTTTATTTTCAGTTGGATTTGTTTCTTTTTATTTTCAATGTGCGTTCTCCATGTCAATTTTGAATCAATGCGCATGCCTAAATATTTGACAGAATTGCATAGTGGAATTATTGAATTGTTTATGACGATAGGTGGACTGTTGTGAATAAAAGTCATAATTAAAAAAGTCTAATTTTTTTACTTTCAAAATTCTCAGAAATATAATTCATTCAAAGTTTTCAAAAAAACTTAGAATTTAACACTTTTAAATTCCGCCACTTGTTAACTAATCCGCTAATTTTATGTTTTCTCGACGTTTCAAGGCATTCCGAATTGAATGAGACCAAATTTGAAAAAAGTATATGTGTGTGTGTGTGCGTGTGGTGAACAGATTTTTTGCCGTAAATTGACGTTTTCTCAAAAACGACTGGAACGATTTCAAAAATTCAAAAGCCATTTGATGCACCTCTATGAGGACGTTTCTTTGTAAATAGCAGAAAAGTAAAAAAAAAATCGTCCAGGTTTTAGCCCACAATTCTGAATTGATTTTGTATATACAAAAACCGTTCGAAAGATATTGGTTGGGAATCGACCTGATTTGTTTTTGGTAAAAATTGGCCGGGCCGTTTTTTTGTAATAAAGTGTTAAAAAATTTTTTTTCCACGATTTCTGATTTTTTTTTACGGTAGATACAATAGTCTTATAGATTATAGTAAAATATTACGGCCCTACGGCAAGTCGTTTAATTTTAAAATTTTTTCAAAGTTTGCAAAAATTATCATTTTTTTTGGCATTTGTCAGAAATAGACTTTTCATCGACGTTTGCTCAAAAACGCCTGAACCGATTTCAGAAATTTTAAAGCCGTTTGATGTATCTCAATGGGGATTATTGTTTGTCAGTTTTGTGCGACGATCTGCCAATCCGTTTCTTTGTAATTTGTAAAAAAGTGTTAAACTTTTCGTTCACATTTAAGCTCATACTACCGAATCAATTTTGAAAAATCAAAAACTGGTCGAATGATATTAGTTGGGAATGATACTAATTAGTTTTAGGTAAAAATCTACCGAGCCGTTTTTTATGTATAATTAATTGTTGAAAAAAAAATTTAAGGCGATTTTTATGAAACTTTTTTTGGCGATATATATCATGTTCTTATAGAACTTTCTGAAATATTACGGCCTTTTGACAAGTATTTTAATTTCAAGAATGCATCAAAGTTTGAGAAAATGAGTAGTTCTTTTAACGTTTGTTAAAATCAAAATAAAACGATTTACTTGGTATAACGATAGAGTGATCGATGATAAATCCACTCGAAATACTTTTAATAACTCATTAATTAATTTATATTTTATTGATAAAGTCGATTATTTACACATATCCATGTTACTTGCTTCAAGGCAAAATACCAATACGAACTAGTTTTCTGATTGATTTTAGAAAGTCTTATCATAAGTAAGATAAAACTTATTTGATGTTGACTATACTCATATTATGTACTTTTGTTCTCAATGTTTATCTTGTTTCGAATAATTGTCTAAAATTAAAATATATATAAAGTAATTAATATTTATCTTACTCTTGAACACATTGCGCACTGGTGACTATCCAGTTTTTGTTGATTATGGATCCTCCGCAAAGGTGTTCCTCGCCGTCTTGCAAAGACACCTGCCATCCGCATGTTGATATATCAACAACTTCGCCTCCGACTATTCGCTTTGATGTTGCTAAAATACGTAATTTTAATTAAAAAAAAATATTTCAAACATATAGATGTAAATTTGCCAGTTCATTTTACTGTATGTACATTGTGCTTTTGAAGCAAATTGCTGTAGTTTTAGTTCAGTGAAAAAATTATAACTTCAATACGTTTATGACAAATTTTATTATATCTTAATAACGAATAATTTGAATATTTTTAAAATTTCAAAAAATTATTTTTGGATTTAATGGTTTTAAATCTCTGACAAATGGTTGAATTCGTTTCTCAATATCTGTTCTATAGATTAGAACTTTGTATATAGAGTATGTAGTATAATTATTGTCATTAGTTTTGCATATTTAAAACAGTGACAACTGAAAGTAGTAGCTAAATTCAGGTGAAAATCAATCACGTCTTCATCGGTGAAAGGAAACTGCGAATAATATGTTCCTTGAATTATACGAAACGGTTTGTTGTTTTTAAGTTTATATCTTTCTATGGGTCAGATCAGCGATTCCGGGTTCGATCAGCCTCATGTCAAGCAGTAGTGACATCGCTTTTTACTTGAAACTTTAGATATCAATATGCTTACAAGTTCAAACAGCTCTTATTCGGCATTGCTGCGCCAATAAAAATAATCACTATTACAAAAATTGTAATAATAAAAATCATCACATATAGATGCCATATCTACTGTTAAAAAGAGCAGTTTGTGAGTAATTTATCAGAAAAGCTCACAGGACCTTTAAGCTTTGATCATTGTTCAAATATAAAATAATTATATAAAAATTGTTGATAAAATATGGAACTGATTACAGCAATATATATACAACTTTTCATAAATATTTATTACTAGAATAACCTTTAGGTTCCGTTTTATGAAATTAGTTTTTTATTAAACAAAATTTGAAAATATTTATTCATGGCCACAATCAATTTACTTCCTGCAGAATAAGTTGTAGTAATAGCAAAAAAATTGAAAATAAAAATTGTACGTATTAATCGAAAATAAAATTGTACGTATCTGAACAATTTGACATTTAAAAAAAATTGATGTATGTGTACGGATACAAATTTTCGTCGACGATTTTGAGAGCACGGATCATCGATTTGAATGTTTCAAAATGTCATTCAAAAAATATTTTACTTGTACTGACGAAATGAAAAATTCATCGAATTAAAGTAAAAAATATGGCGTTTGGCATTTTGGAACATTGCACATCAAATTATTAGATTTTATAGAGATTTTAATAAGCACAAAGTTTTGTTTCTATTTCTATGGATGTTTAAATTTCACTTACATAGTTCGAACAAAGGTTCTCGACATTTTCGACAGCGTGGTTCATCCGATTTGTAAAAAGTCGATTTTTTTTCCAAAATTTTAAAATTGGCAAAAATCTAGTTTTAAAAATGAAACCAATTATTAAAACTTTTAAAAATTTGAATTACGGTACATTACAATTTCAGGAATTAAGACACGATACCCTGCTCACTAGTTTGTTCGTATTTTAATTTTTTTGTTGTTAATTTTTGTAATTATTCAAAATCATAATAATTTAATATATATATATATATATATATATATATATATATATAAATGTTTTTTGTAAAGAACATTTAAAATGTAGTAAACATAAGTTTGTTAAATAATTTTGACTATAACCATTTTATTTTATTTATAATATAATTATGAATATATTTATATTTAACAAATAAGTAAATTATTAATTACAAAACTCACTGTGAGAAAATATTCCATAAACTATTAAAACTTGGATCCAGAGTTGCGCGCCCATTTTGCTTTCTCGAAATGTAAATATCAAATAATTTTGTAACAGTAGCAACTAAAACTAAAATATTACATATTCTGTAATTAAAGATAACATTAAATTTTTATTTATTTATTTCACGCGAATACTTCATATTACTTGTGATATCTTAAGCCTTGTGTAATACTTATTTTTAGATTATCATATGTCTAAAATTGCGATTAGAAGCTATATTTGACTATTTGAGGGATATATGATTTTTGCTTATATATATATATATATATATATATATATATATTTTAATTGAGTTTAATATTCGGGCGTAACATCAATAAAAATAGTATGAGTTTTTTTTTTTTAAATTTATTTATTTTAAAATCCATACGTTCGGCTAGCATCTTAGCCATCATTCAGTGGTAATCAGTTAACTATAAAAATTGGAACTAAATAAATTATATGAAAGGAAAATTTCATGGAAAACAATATAAATATAATAGTAATAAAACACTTACAATTTTGTATCCTAATATAGCATATGAAACCATTTTAATCCATGGTATGGAGTATGTGCACATTGATAAGATATGTATTTTTTAACACAAACATCACAAATGGTAAACCACCTAATAATCATGATAACTTGACAAGTTGTCGAACTATGTATTTACTCTTCGGAGTTTAGGATAGAATGTCACAACTTTCTCAAAGTAGTTTTTAGCATGTGTTGATATTTTTTGGAAAATTTAAAAGGCGATGGGATTTTGTTATTTTTTTAAGGAATTTTGACACGCTATTAAGAACCACGTGTTCGTTTTCGATAAGGGCCGTATTGTCATTGCGTTTATTTATGACTCTGTCGTTATGTAATTGTAAAACCAACCCTCAGCGAATCTTCTTTTAATTGTATTCTCTTCAAAAGTAAAATTTTAGGGTTAAAAAAATCGATATTGTGATTTAAATTTTAATATGCTCAGTTAACATTGTTTTAAATTGTTTGGGATTTTTTGAATTATTTTTGTGTTGATTAAGGCGTTTACTCAGGTTTGGCTAGTTTCTCCAATAGAAAAGAGTTCGCAATTGAGCAATTATTTGATATACTAAATTCCTGAGCCGGTCCAAATTGAACTTAGATTTCATTTGTGTAAAATTGAACTAAGGGTTGCATCACAT